CAGCACCAGCGCGCCCGCCGCGTTGTTCTCCCGCAGACGCGCGCTGTAGCGCTCCTGCGAGAACACCGGCGCGTTGTCGTTCACGTCCAGCACCCGCAGCGCCAGCACCCTGCTGCTCTGCAGCGCCGGCCACCCGCCGTCGGACGCCCGCACCGTCACGTTGTACTCCGACTGCTGCTCCCGGTCCAGGTCTCTCGCTGTCACCATGCGGTAGTAGTCCTCATAGGATTTCTCCAGTTGGAACGGGACATCCCCGTCGAGCGAGCAGCGCACCTCGCCATTGGCCCCTGAGTCTTGGTCGTGCACGTGCAGCAGGGCCACCACCGTTCCTGATGGAGCGTCCTCTGAAATCTCACTCAGCGCAGAACGCAGCGAAATCTCGGGCATGTTGTCGTTAATGTCTGTCACCGTGATCCCAATTTTCGCTGCGTCGGAGAGACCACCACCATCGTGTGCCTGCACTTCCAGTTCATAGTAGCTGTCTTCCTCGAAGTCCAGGCTTCTCACGAGCATGATTGCTCCCTTCTTAACATCCAGCTGGAATGTCTGCAATGCCCGGTCTGTTGCTTTCTTTATCAAATATTTTACATCCCCGTTCATACCCTCATCGGCGTCGGTGGCCGAGACGGTGACGAGGACAGAACCCACGGGCACGTCCTCTGGCACACGCACCGTGTACTCCGCCTGGCTGAACACGGGCGCGTTGTCGTTCGCGTCCAGCACCGTCACGCGGATCCGCGCCGTGCCCGTCCGGGACGGATCGCCGCCGTCCATCGCCCTCAGCACCAGCTCGTGGAACGCCACCTCCTCCCGGTCCAGCGCCTTCGCCAGCACCAGCTCGGGACGCTGATCCCCGGCGGGGCCCGTCTGCACGGCCAGCGAGAAGTGCTCGTCGCCGCTCAGCTCGTAGCTCTGCAGGGAATTCCGTCCCGAATCCGGGTCGTGAGCCTCGACCAAAGGGAAGCGCGACCCTGGAGCCATCGTTTCGCTTATTCTCTGCTCCAGTTCGATTTCCTTGAAGCTCGGGGCATTGTCATTAATATCCATGATTTCTACTTCAATACCATATACTTGCATTTCCCCCTCCACTATCAGCTCACAGCGCAGCACGCATTTCTCCACCAGCCGGCACAGCTGCTCTCTGTCGATCCTCTCGGCCGTCACTAAATGTCCCGTCTTCCCGTGTAGAGTGAAATACTGCGTCTTGCCTTCAGAGACAACATGGACGCCCAGATCGCTGAGCGCTGGAATCTGCAGCCCCAGGTCCTTGGCCACGTCGCCCACGAACGAGCCCTTGGGCATCTCCTCGTTCACCGAGTAGCGCAGCTGCCCCCACGCCGCCTCCCAGGCCGCCAGCAAGACGCCCCAGAGCAGGACTCGCTGCCGCCGGCCCCAGCGCCTCCCCGCAGAGCACATCTCCGCCGCCGCACCGCCGGCACCGCAACACTGCCGGTAGATCCCCGCCGCTGATCAATGACTCGGCTCCTGCTCCCGGTCCGACTTGCCGCTTTCTGCCTCTGCCGCCGGACTCTCTGCCTCCCTGTATCTCGGCTCCGCACTGCCCGAATGATGGGAAACCGACCGCTACCCGAGCCAGAGATCCAGTTTATCCAGCAATCGAGCCGGTCCGCAGCGGGCGGGGCTGCAGCGCTCCGACCTTCCTCTCGCTCCTCTCGGTCAACAGCGGCGCCCGCAGCCTCCTCCCGGCACTGCAGGCACCGAGCGCTGTCGAGAGATGCCCGCCCTGCCTCGCCCACGGGAAACTCAAAAAGACGGGACAGTTGCCACGAAAATGTCGGGTCCAGCACAGCGGAGACCTGGCGTTATGTTCTTTCTACCGCACGGGAAAATACTCATGTGATTGCGATAATCTCTAGATACAAAATTCTCTTAATACAGCATGCAGAGTATTCCGAACTTACTCTTCTACGGCAGGAAAGTATAAGATTTTCCCTGCAAATGCACAGGTTTTTGTGTCATTCGTTCTCTAGTTTTTTGTCACTGAGCGTTAACATTCAAACACCTCCGGCCACGGTATATTTCCAGGCCTGAGCAATTGCATATAGCAATGATAAAGATTCCTCCCAAAAAGGACATTCTAAGTACTACCCTTCCCTCTCTGCTTTTTCACTTTTCACTTGCACATCCGAGGCTGCTCTGAATCAGCCTGCATTGCTCTCCTCCAACCAGTACTTCCGATTTTTCCATTACATCCTAAACAAAAGATCCTGTTTTTGTATACAGCTTAGTGCTCCATTCTTGATCACAGCCTTAGAGAGAGATGCTATTCAGTATTTTTTAGATCACATTCAATCTCTCCGTAATAAAGTCAGCTGCAGAATGGTAAATAAGAAGGAACTACCAAACTGTGAATGAGAAATAATAGCAGAAAGAGAACAAAGAAATAAAACTCTGATAAACTGATCTCACCATAGCTTGCCATTTCTATAGGCCACTTAGATCAAAAACTGGAACGGCAAAGGATGGAAGGTAGGCGTATTCCTTAGGAAAGAACAACTCTCCACTCACCTAGCAAGTTTCCTTAAACTCTGAAATAAGAAACAGGTCGCAGTGAATCTACACTGAAGAAGGAGTAGGAAGGAAAAATCTCAGTACTGAGCGTCAATCGCATTGCCAACTCCACTATGTGGAATTATCAGATGGCTTTCTAAGTAACCACCTACACCGCTATTAACCCATAGTATTTTACACAATACAAGGTTTGCAGAAAAACCTGAGCAGTTGAACAAAGAGATGCTGTCGCTACTGCTATGAGAGAAAATATAAATAAAACAGAAAGTAGAAGCAGTCCTTTACAAGTCCTCCACGGTTTTATGCACCATAAGTTGAACGACAAGAACTTCCCAATTAAGCTGACAAGTCTGGAGGTGCTTGTTCTCACAGCCTGCAGCCTTAAAGGGGCAGCATTATTACATGCTTTCGTGGAAACAACCACCAGCACTAACTGCACCAGAACAGACACTAACCCCAAGAGCCCACTGCCATCTGCATAACCTGGGGAAAAGCTCAGAGAGAAGGAAGGTGAGACTTTACCCACCTTTGGTGTGTCGGGGTCTGTGGGCGGCTCTCCCGCGACGGCGCTGCTGCTCGGGCTCGGCTTGTCGCAGGGCTCCCCGGCCAGAAGCTCCTCGGCGGGCAGGATGGGCAGCGGCGGCGGCGGCCAAGCGGCCTCGGCGGCGGCGCGGGCCGGCGCGGCCACGCACAGGTTGTAGGAGTAGGGCAAGGTGCCCTCGCAGAAGTCGGGC